TTAAAAAGATTATAACTTTTAATTAAGTAAAACATTTTAATACTTTCTTGCACTTTGCAGAACACAAAAAACAAAAGCAAACACAAAAGAGTAGAGCATGTCTGCATGCATGCTGATTCAGCAGGGGTCATATTAAAGAAGGAAAGCAGAGAATATTTATTTGAAAGTGAAAGAGGATTCCTGAGAGCCTGACGACAGGAAGTTACTGATGCTCAGACTGCCGTGCCTGCTTACCAGGTCCCCACAATACTAGAGCCAAAGCCACACTTATCAGAGGGCGAACAGGCACGTCCACGCCAGTTCACCCCAAATCACACGTGCAGAGCATCAAGCTGTGAAGATGGTTTGAAATCCGCTCGTGTGCAGCAGATTTACCACAGTGGAGAGGTGGGAGTGCTCAAAATGTGCACAAAAACAAAAGTGTGCCTGTGTGAGTGGAACGAGCGTGCTGGAGTTGTGCTGCAGGGCTGACAGTTTAAGGTGTTTTAGCCCCGCCTCCTGCTACACCTGAAATGAAGCCTGAGCTTCTGGCTCACATGGATTATGTGCACAGGTGACCTCGTTATGAGAACTGTGGCCATGTTTAATGCGAACATCCACCACGGCAGCAGGATGCAGAGGAATAAATATATGTGAAAGGTTTACCCTCTTATGTGAACTCTGGCACTTTCTCTTCTTCGGTGTTCGGCTGTTTTGGATGCGTCATGAAATGTGCTCCCAGAACTCGCTTCAGGCCAGACAAAGTGAGAGCAGCTGTGATCCCAGCAGATATATTGTATCCCAGTCTGTGAGCCATGGAGCAGTAAAATCCTCGCTGATTGCTCCTTTTAAAAGAGGTGGACGCGTTTCTGCTCCCGGAGGAGCTGCCGGCTGTTCTGGCAGCAGAGCGGCGGGTCGAGCGGTGAATAACAGCAGGACTCATTGTGCCTCGGCTCGGGCTCCACACCGCAGGCCAAATTAAAAATGACACGCAATGAAAGAGCAAAGGAAACGAGTTTCCCCCAGAGAACAATCTGGAAAATTACCCTCCATTCACACAGACAGGGAGAGTATTGACAGAGTGTCACACTCGCTCACAGCCAATCAGCTTTTGTTGCTTTCTATCAGAGCGGACTCAGAACATCTGCTGCTCCTCAAACGCAGCGCCTGTGTCTGCGTGGAGCTCAGAGACGCCTTACTGGAACAGGTGCTGAAGCGCGCAAACCCACAGCATGTTTGTCCTCGTGTAGCTCTACACAGGTAATGAAGTCACAGCAGCCATATTATTGTTCAGGTAATCGCGTTAAAAATGATCCAACAGGCTCCAGCAGAACAAACACAGTCCAGTTGTTCAGACAGCTAGCAGCTACAACCGCCTGTGTCGCCATCCACCTGTCAGTCAAAGAGGCCACGCCTCTAATAATGCAGAGGTCAGTTATCAGTTATAAAGAGAAATAGACTTTTAAGAGCAAAACAGTTTATCAGGCTGTAAACATGTTTATTTCTGCTGTAAAGTTTTCATTTGGGATGCGGAAAACGTCTCTATCGCCCCCTGGTGTCTGGCTGCAGTATAGGTCATAAACCCCGCCCCCTACATGTTAGCGGATGGGGCTGGGGTCAGACAAAAAAGTAATAATTCTCCTCAGATAAATTTTTTCCAAAGATTCTTTCTTTTGTTTTCAATAGTTCTCATCACGCTGATTTCTGTCCAATGAGTCTCCTCTCCCATAAGTCTGATTCTAATTCCTACCGCGGTGACGTTAAATTGGGGTGAAACGTCATCATAACAGCTTTGACTTGCAGCTGCTGTCACGGAGAAACTTGCGTATCTCTGTTCGGGAATAGAAGATAGAGCGTAGGCTCTGAGAGGAGGGCCAGCGTTTACGCTACGAAAACACCACTGAGTGTTTTAACCTGACAGCCTGAGGTGTTCTTTAGTAAACTGGACCCGAGGCTGTTGGGGAAACTCATTTTGTAAAGTTTGTTTAGCTTCTTTTCTACAGTCACTGGGACCGACCTGCTGGAGCCTCTGCTGGATGTTAGAGGAACTGCAGTTTTTTGTCAGTTCCTGCATGTTTTCCCTGAAGCGCTGACGCTTGGATCCGCTCAGAGTTCTACAATCCCGCACAGGCTTCTTTCTGTATGAGGCCTTTTTCCAAACAGCTGCTTGTTGCTTGAAGAAAACATTTTCTTACTTACTAAATATTTTGCAGAAAGATCTAAACGTGAACTCACCTTTTTTTAAAGAATGTGGTGAAAGAAGCATGCAGTGCTTTTTCTTTGGAGGAAACTGGCGCTTTATTGTTGTGGGTATACACACATCATGTGTTTTACATTCTTTAAAATGCTGTGAGTTTAAATGGCTGCAACCTCGGTCAAGCCTCTCTTCTAAGAGAGACGTGATATATAAAAATAAATAATGGGAAGCACAGTTTGAAAGGATCGCTTCTGGCTGCTATAAAAGGGAAGAACCTGGCAGCATGTATTCGCGGCGTTGTATACAAGGAGCATCATTTCTACATATTTTAAGCTTTTCTCTCTCTGGGACTGAGGAAGCAGAGATGGGGAGATGCAGAGTTCCTTCTGATACAAATGACTCACTGAAGGAATAAACTGTCCTTCGTACCGGCACTAAAATAAGTGAACTGGAAAGAATTGGAAAGGTTTGCATTTCATATATACTTGCATGTTTGTTGTTGCATGCTGTCTTCCTTCCTGAAACTTAGTGGAAACGATGATGCGTTCAAGGACACTGTCCATTTAATGCCTCTGTGTATATCTATGATGGCACAAAAGACCTCACAAAAACTGCAGACGAACATCGTGTTTGGAGTAAAGACGAACAGGCAGACGCAGTAAAACAATGGTGCCCACTGCTGTACAGAAACGTTATCGCTGTAGGATCACTTTAATGCTTAATGGACTGAAAGAGCACAGATGATACAAGCACAACAGACTGCACATCTCACAGCATCCACCAGGTCACTGGTCAACCATCCAGGGTTGGTTTGTGTTTAATGTTGCGGGGGAGGGATAGCTCAGTAGGTAGAGTGGTGGCCCCATGATGGGAAGGTCGGGGTTTGACTCCACTGAACGGCTACCCTGAGGTACCCCTGAGCAAAGTACCGTCCCCACACACTGCTCTCCGGGCGCTGCATTGGTGGCTGCCCACTGCTTCACTGGGTGAACGGGTTAAATGCAGAGGAAGTAATTTCCCTACTGGGACTAACACATTATTATTACGTCCATCACACTCAGATAAAGAAATCTCTGGGACTTCATTGGACGTCTAGCCCTGCACCTGGTGACCTGGTGGATGTTGACAGGTTAAACTATGTTTGTGAGAAAGTATTTTCCCCATTCCACATTATTTTGCATATTTGTCATACTTACATGTTTCCAATCAACAAACTATTTTTTAATATTGAACGAAGATAAACCAAGACAAGAGTTATCAAACCCACCTGCCCTGTGTGCGAAAGTAACTGCCCCCTAAATCTGATAACTGGCTGTTCAACCCTCGGCAGCAAGTCCTGCAGTCTCATGTTTGTGATCCATTCAGGGAGTCGTTCACATCACTGTGGAGGAATTTTGTCTTCTTTTCAGGATTATTTGAATTCAGACACACTGGAGGTTTTCCAGCATGAACGCCTGCTGAAGGTCACGCGGACGCACCTCAGTCTGACTGAAGTCCAGACTTTGACTCGGATGCTCTTGGAGTAATTTTGGAAGGTCGGTCACTCCTGGCTCGGCTCAGCCCTGTTCCAGGTTTTCTCCATGTGTGGATAACGGCTCTCACTGTGGTTCACTGAACTTCTTTGTAAGTGATTTCTGACTCAGTGTGGCAGTGAAACTCAGCTTTACAGAAATGTGGTTAATCACAGTTACTTCATGATGTATTAGGACAGTTACTTTTTCCACACAGGGAAGGTAGGTCGGGATAACTTTTTTAAAATAAAGTTATCATAAAGTTGTTTGCTTCAAAGCACAGGCTGCTTGAAACCAAATCAGGAACATCTTTTCAAAAAGTCTTAATTCAGTTCTTCAATCGGGATCCTCAGTTGGTTCTAGAAAAATCCAGATTTCTGTTTCAGTTTGGAGCAAAAGAGACGTCCAAATTTGTGAGTGTGGTTGATTATCATAATTGTCGGGCTATAAGTCGCTACTTGTTGCACAAGCTTTGAACCCTGCGGCTTTTAGTCAGGTGCGGCTTTTCTATGGATTGTCCATGAGCGGATTTGTTTTGTTTGTTCCGCTGTTGTACGGCACTACGTTGCCTGGCGGAAGGATCGGGGTTCAAGAGTGGTATGTTGGTCACATGTCCGTCCGCCAGGCAACGTAGTGCCGTACGAAGTAGCGCGAAAAACAAACTTCAAAGTAGCGCTACGCGTTCAGCGGGAGGCGTGGATGACGAGCGGCGATAAACTTGCGAAAAGCAAGTTATGCCCAACTCCACCGGTGGAATCTGACAGCGTGGAAAAGTGTGAAAACATCCACGATCACCAACGGATTTCGAAGGCCTGGACTGCTGCATGATGAAGAGGAGGACACCGCCACGGCCCTTCAGAGGGTGTTCGTGTCCGACACTGGAGGAGAGGACTTTGGTGGTTTTAGTGCGCAGGAAGATGGTGGTGAAGGACTGACTTTTCTTCTTGTTAAAGCCGTGTCACTGCACCTGAGCATAAAAGGTAGGCCGGATCTATTTTTCTGGTGTGCTGCAGGTTATTGTTATGTACTACATTTGTTACTCATTTATGAAGCAAAGTACATGTGTCCTACTTGTAATTACCGCTACTTGTACATATACCTAAAAAGTTATGCAAATATGTACCCGTAACTTGTTTTTCAAAATATTAATAAAAGGGGTGTGTCTCCAAACAGCCATCTGTTTCCTGACAATTCGCTTTGTGCATATTCTCTTACATATGATAAGTCAACATTGAAACACCTGCGGCTTTTGGTCAGGTGCGGCTAATGTATGTACAAACCAGGATTTTCCCCTGATTTTAGCTTGTGCGGCTAATATTCAGGTGCGCTCTGTAGTCCGGGAAATACGGTATTTTTCAACAGTTTCCTTAAACCTGGATTTTCTGCTTCTCCAGCGCTGGGAGTTGCCATCACGAACTAAACTGAAGAGTCTGAAACAACAATGAGGTCTGGAGCAGCTGAACACGTGTTTGATATAAGTGAGTAAATGTCCAAAGGTCACAGTGGGAATCCACAGAGGTTCAGTTCTGAAAAAAGAAAAGTACAGCAATGACATATCTCTTATTTGAAGGATAATTGTTTCTACGAGGACACGATGAGGGTGAAGTCAAAGCGCTGGGACCAAGACGTTGGTTTTCGGTTTGCACGTGAGATTTCTCCATAAATATAAAAATAGAGACACTCGTTCGTCCCGTCTTCCCTCCTTAGCTGAAGAAGTCTTTGGAAATGGCTTCCACAAAGTTGGGGGCGGACATGAGGATCCCGATGGTGCAGAGGATGGTGAAGAGCGAGAACGCCACCAGGCAGAGCCGGTCAATCACCGCCGCGGCGAACTTCCACTCGCTGCAGACCGTCTCCTCCTCGTCTTGGCCGCGGAAACGCCCGGCGATGTATCTCACCTCCTCCAGGATCTGGTTCAGCTCCGTCTCCAAGGCCGAACCCCCAGCTGCTCCCCCCGCTCTTCCTCCAGCTCCAATCCCTCCTCCTGCTCTCAGCACGTCTTCCTCAGCACCGACGCCACCTCCAATGAGCCGCGAGCACAGGAGCTCAGGGTCAGCGGGGGATCCGTAGTGGAGTCCTTCCACACCCCTGAAGCCGACGTAGAGGAGGTTGCTGTTATTTACCTGTGGGTTGTGCCGCAGCGAGCCCTGGCTGACGCTGAGCTCCAGGCTGGACAGGCTGCCGCGCCGACGCTTGGCGGCGTTGTGACACGCTGGACGGACCTTCGCTTCGCCGGGGCGCCGCATCCTCAGGAACCAGGCACACCAGTTCAACAAAATCACACGAGTCTAAAGAAGAAAGAGAAGAAAGTCATTATTTCAAAGTAAATTTGATTTATTTTTCTGTTATCAGAGTTCCAGTTTTCCGATTCTGTGTTTTGGTTCCTTGGAACTTACGATTAAGATGTCGCTTTGTGCGTTTGGCTTCTCATTCTCGTCTCCGTGTTTAGTATGAATCCTTCAGGTTGTTTCCTGTTTTATCATTATTATATATTTCTTATATATTTTATCTGGCTTCTTGATTAGGGCTTCCTTCCCCTGTGCGTTCGTCCCCTACAGCTTCAAACCCGTTTAGATAATATTTGGACTTTTTGTTCACCTTTTGGATGTCATGATTTTAAACTTATAAATAACCTCATTATTGGAAACTCCTTTTCTGTTTGCGTTCTCTCTGAGCCTCCTATCTGTTCCCACCTTAAAGATTAAAGGTCATCATAACAAGTGCCTGAGGAAGTTTGTGTTACTTGGTCTGTATCATTTAAATGTTAGCTTAACCCTTTAAAGCCGGTCGGAGCGGACACGCTCCATTTTGCGTAACTATTTTTAAATCCCGGTAGCTCTGCAACCACGTAAGCTAGCACAATAATTTTTTTTGCATATGAAACCGGAGGAGTTGTACT